CTATATCAGACAGCAGAGCCCTATATTAAAAAAAAAAAAAAAAAAAAGAAAAAGAAAGAAAGAAAGAATCCAGAAATACGTATGATTGAGAAACTTACCTGCAGATGAGAAAGGATGCTGGTCAGGGTCCAGGTACAGCTGGGAAAAAATTGGCCGCGGTACCACACTACTACATCTGAGTGAGGCTTCTATGGAGTTGTGGAGAGCTTCCTCAAATCGAGCAGATTTCAGTTGCCCAGCATACGAATTCCCCATGATCTACACCTACCCATCCCCAACAAAAAGAAGAAAGGATAAAATCGACATAATTAGAGGTTCTATGTCTCAAAGCACAGGTAGAGCTAATATAAACTATGTCCATATATCTTAAGATGTGAAATATATGAACTACCCAGATATCTTAAGACAGCTTGTGTAAGTTACTTGTTATCATATCACATGTGCTTTTTGTCTTCACAGCCCAAACCCAACTCAAAAAGCCCCTTTAAGGGATTTTGTATCTATAACAGTAATAAATGCTTAAGTCAAGGCTCTCCAACCAGTAAATCAAGACTGACCTGTCAATCATGAATCCCAACCTGGTTAACAGTGTAGCCATGACACCTTTATAGGAGGCTACTATAACTCCCTAGAAACTCTATCAGTGGTTTCAAAGTAAGTAATGAATTTTTTCTTTACAAAGATCTATTACTCTAGATGGGGGAAAAAGCCTCTCTTCTGGAAAAAAAAAAGAAAGCTTTATGGTTATATATTTAATTAAATTTCTGAAAGCAAGACTTGAGCCTTTTCAACTCGAATAATTCATTTATGTATTACTAGTACTTGAAAAACTCTGCGGTTTCTTTTGCTTCATCTGAAGTACAATCTTATTTGGGACGCTTCACGAAAGTATATAGCAAAAAGCTTCGAAGCCATGACCTTTACTTCTCATCACTAATATTTATATAATACTACAGTACTTGCTGGTTATAAAAATTTCCATGTATAGGCTGGGCATAGTGGCTCACACCTGTAATCCCAGCACTTTGGGAGGCCGCAGCGGGTGGATCATGAGGTCAGGAGATTGAGACCAGTCTGGCTAACATGGTGAAACCCCGTCTCCACTAAAAATACAAAAATTAGCCAGGCATGGTGGCATGGGCCTGTAGTCCCAGCTACTCAGGAAGTTGAGGCAGGAGAATCACTTGAACCCAGGAGGCGGAGGTTGCAGTGAGCCAAGATTGTGCCACTGCACTCCAGCCTGGGCGACAAGAGCGAAACTGTCTCAAAAAAAAAAAAAAAAAATTCCATTCATAACAATAACAACAACAATTTACTGGGTGCTAATTAGTGGCTAGACTAATGATACTCAAAGGGTCCTGGGGTGGGGTGGGGGGCAAGACCCTACCCTTTCAATGGTCCATGAAGTCAAAACTATTTTTTTTTTTAAATTTTTTTTGAGACACAGTGTCTCTCACTCTATTACCCAGGCTGGAGTGCAGTGGCACAGTCTTGTCTCACTGCAACCTCCGCCTCCCAGGTTCAAGCAACTCTCCTCAGCCTCCCAAGTAGCTGGGACTACAGGCACACGGCAGCACACCAGGCTAATTTTCGTATTTTTAGTAGAGATGCAGTTTCCCCATGTTGAACTCCTGACCAGGCTAGTCTTGAACTCCTGACCTCAAGTGATCCACCTGCCCGGGCTTCCCAAAGTGCTGGGATTATAGGCATGAGCCACCACACCGAGCCAAAACTATTTCAAACTATTTAAACAAATTTTTTTTTTGTTCAGAGCTGGTAGGTAAGACTTGTAGGAGCTGGTTCGGCTGTTCAACAGTGCTCTCAAGAACAGAGCTCTTCCTGTCATACTGCTCCATCACCCTGAATGTGTTGACTTTTACTCTCGATCTTGTCCCTAAATAGCTGTGACACACCAAGGCATCATGTCTACATTCCAAATAATCAAAAGGGCAAAAGGCCTTCTTTTTAGAAACCTTGGTCTTTTTATTTGGAATGGAATGCCACTTCCCAGCAAACTTTTCCTTGAATCTCTGGCTAGAAATGGGTCAGCTGTCCATTCCTGAGCATATCATCAAACTATTACTTGGATATTATTTGTCTTTTTCACTCTGATTCACTCATATAGGTACGTGGAGTTTTCCAGAATCTGCAGGATGTGTGATATTACAACTGGTTGAATGCGGAAGCACATAAGCTACTCACTAACTTGTCTTTGGCAAATACAATTATTTTTCATAAAATATGCTATCTCTGTTCATATATAGTGGGGTTTTATTATAATTTCTAAAAGTAATATATATTTGTAAAAATTTTCAGTTTTAATTTTTAATAAACAAAAACTATGGGGTCCTCAATAATCTTTTTTTTTTTTTTTTTTTGAGATGGAGTCTCACTCTGTCACCTCGTCTGGAGTACAGTGGTGCAATCTCAGTTTACTGCAATCTCTGTCGCCTGAGTTCAAGCAATTCTCTTGCCTCAGCCTCCTGAGTAGCTGGGATTACAGGCACCTACCACTGTGCCTGGCTAATTACTGTATTTTTAGTAGACACAGGGTTTCACCATCTCGGCCAGGCTGGTCTTGAACTCCTGACCTCGTGATCCACCCGCCTCGGCCAAAGTGCTGCGATTACAGGTGTGAGCCACCACACCTGGTCAATAATCTTTAACAGTATAAATGGGTACTAATACTAACAGTCTGAAAACTATTGGGCTAGATAGTCTACTAAGCACTTTATAAAAATGGCTGTATTTAATCCTCAGTATTCTGAAGAAGGTATGACTTCTTTCCACTTCACAGATTAAAAAACAAAACCAAAAACCAAAACCTGAAGACATGAAGTGACCAGTTCACTACCATTCAACTAACAAGGGATAGAGCCAGGACTCAGGATCCAGCCATGTGATGACAAAGCCTGCACTCTTACTGTACAGCCTCACCTTGGATAAATCTCATTTCAAGACAGGTAATTTTGAGAATATCTCAGGCCCCCCCTCTATCAAAGAGAGGGATAGAATTTAAAATTTATCTGGAATGCCAACTCTGATTAACTCCCTGGAGAGAGTCCCTGGAGGACTGGTTGAGAAGAACCCTGAGGATGCATCTGTGTTCATCAGGAAAGGGTGCCAACACCCAGTGTGCCCACTCATGAGCCCAGAAGAGGTGATGCATGGGAATCCACAACTCTATCTCAAGTTTCCCAGACTCACACACTAAAGCTCTGTGGAGGATGTCGGTGCCCCTAAGCTACTTTTACATAGCAAACAAGACTTCTGATATGATTCGTGGTGGCAGTGAGTAGCATGCAGTGATTTCCATCAGAGTGGCTGGGTTTGTCAAAGTTTTATTAGAGATTCCTATGATTTGGAGAAAAAGCCGGGGTCCTATTTTGGCAACTTTTCTCATATAGGTAATAAAACCAAAATGCCATGAATTTAAATTATCAGGTTTCTTTTAACAAAAAGATTATACTCAAAATGTACAATACCCAATTACAAGTTGCGTATGTATATAAAATATCCAATTAAAAGATGAAGAAATAGAAGAAAATCAACAAAGTCTGTCAACTGAAATGTTCCTGAAACACCAAGTTTTAGACCAGGCTCCTAAGACTCCCCACCAATACAACACAAACATTAAATTTTTTTTTTTTTTTTGAGACAGAGTCTTGCTTTGTCACCCAGGCTGGAGTGCAGTGACATGATCTCCGTTCACTGAAAGCTCCGCCTCCCGGGTTCCCACCACTCTCCTGCCTCAGCCTCCCGAGTAGCTGGGACTACAGGCGCCCGCCACCATGCCCAACTAATTTTTTTTTGTATTTTAGTACAGACGGGGTTCCACCTAAGTTGGCCAGGGGAATGGCTCCCTTTGATCCCTGACCTTGTGATCCGCCGCTCAAGCCTCAAAGTGCTGGATGACAGGTGTGAGCACAGTGCCCGCAACATTTAAAAATTTTTTTTTTTTGTTTTTTTTTAGACGGAGTCTCGCTCTTCCCGCCCAGGCTGGAGTGCAGTGCGCGATCTCGCCCTGCAAGCTCCGCCCCGGTTCCCATCTCCCGCCTCAGCCTCCGAGTAGCGGAACTACAGGCGCCCGCCACCTACCGCCCGGCGCTAGTTGTATTTTTAGAAGAGACGGGTTCCCATGTTAGCCAGGGATGGTCCGTCTCCCTGACCCTCGTGATCCACCCGCCTCGGCCTCCCAAAGTGCTGGGATTACAGGCTTGAGCCACCGCGCCCGGCCACATTAAAAATTTTTAAAGCTCAAAAGTAATTTACTTTTCAGCAGCACCACACGTGATCAAAACAGGGTAGAGGTTGGAGGAGAAATAGGCTGTGCCACTAGTTTATGCATCTAAGTCGAAATCCAACAACCATTTCACCTTTCTTCTTTGCTAAAGAGAGAAAAGGACCAGGAACTAGCACAGAGTTAACCATGGGATTGCTTATCTGTGAACAATGACTTGAAATATGAACTTTCAGCCTTTTTCTAGAGCACCAAATGTCTGGAAATATTGCCGCCTCTTAATCTATTACCACTCCAACAAGTTATCTTCCTTTCATCATTGAAAATCTTGAAAACCTCTCAGTGTGGTGGCTCATGCCTGTAATCTCAGTACTTTGGGAGGCCAAGGTGGGCGTATGACCTGAGGTCGGGAGTTTGAGACCAGCCTGACCAACATGGAGAAACTCCCTCTCTACTAAAAATACAAAATTAGCCAGGTGTGGTGGCACCTGCCTGTAATCCCAGCTACTTGGGAGGCTGAGGCAGGAGAAATGCTTGAACACAGGAGGCGGAGGTTGCAGTGAGCCAAGATCGCGCCATTGCACTCCAGCCTGGCAAGAAGACTGAAACTCCTTTCAGAAAAAAAAAGAAAAGAAAATCTAGAAAACCTACATTCTCCAGCAGGTCTTTTTAGTTTAATTTTAAAAAGTACTCAGTTATATAGGGAGGATCACATAATCTCAATCTCTTCAACTTATAGTTTAAGGAGTAATATGACAGAATATATATAAACGACAGATAAATATCACACTGAATAAAAATATTAAATCCGGTTGGGTCTGGTGGCTCATGCCTGAAATCCCAGCACTTTGGAAGGCTGAGGAGGGAGGATCACTTGAGCTCAGGAGTTGGAAGTTGCAGTGAGCTATGATTGTGCCACTGCATTCCAGCCTGGGTGGCAGAGCAAGATCCTGTCCCTAAAAAAAAAAAAAAAAAAAAGAAAAAAGAAAAAAAACCTAAATTAATTTTAAAATGGGCAATGGAG